CACGGTGGCTTCCTTCCCCTCATGTCACATTCAATATTTTAGTCCTTTATTTAGTCATTGATTGAAAATATAAAACTCTAAGGTCCATTTTACGTTTCCCGGCCCATCTACACACTGGCTGACCTTTCATTCATACTTTCTCAGAATGTTCTATGTCGAAGAGGTAAAAAGTTGTCTTGCTTCCAATTACAGCAACGCCGATGTTGTATACTGCATGACGACACAGCTTTCAACGACTCCAAAACATCTAGAACTAGCCCGAACCCACACATCCCTGCCCACGGCTAAGCCATTTTATATGGCGCACATAATCTGGTCACAATAATAACAGAAAGCTCCTCCTTCGTGGATACTGCTTGAACGTGACCAGATTTTTTTCCAGGAAAAGCAATGGAGCGTCCCATCGGTGCGACAAAAATGAAATTATAAATAAATGTCCCGTTTTATAAAAATCTGAGAATTGCCTGCAGAATACTTCAGATATTTATAATCATTTCTGCTAGCCTTACTAGATTTCAAAGTTAGACACTTTAGATGCTTAATATATATTGATAATACTGTTCATCTGACTATTATTTCCAGTGCAGTTGAGGAGTGTTTTGTTCCGTTGATTTCTGGGTGGTAATTGTTCGAGTTTTAATCTTGCCATTGTCGAGCGAGTAATTAATCCTTTTACTCGAGTGACCAAAAAGAAGACACGAAAAAGATGGAAAAGGGGAAGGGTGGGCGTGGTTTAGAGATAAACTGACTTACTTGGAATGTCCCGTTTTCAGCTCAGAGTAGTAATGGGATGTCCCTTTTCCAGTTCCCAATATGAGTGGAATGTCCCGATATCAGCTCAAGACACTGTGGTCACCATGGCTAGAAAGCATTCATCAGTACATGACCCAATAGGACAATGGTATTGTCACAAACACGACAACATCTGCCAGAAGGATACGCAATATGACTTTTATTGGTGCCGTCGGCAATTTTAATTTGTGCTTGCTGCTGAAGGTCAGGACGGAGCGCTTGTGGGAATGTTTCGAGTACAATGATGCCAATTCCTAATTCAACATTAAATATGAAGAATACATAAGACCGTTAATCCTAACAGGTTACAACATGTCTACAGGTATAACAGGTTTAAAGAGTAGAAGTTTTGCAGTGTGAGCGTCGTGTCGTTGCAGGATTTAGACACTGTACGACATGCATATAAAACTGGAAGTGCTCCAGTGAATATATAATCAACCGCTCTAAAATGGGACGCAAATTCTCGTTATTTCAAAGCCCCACTCAACTTGTTGCCGGGGATCCTAATTTAACATAACGTTTGAACGAGGTTGATGTGACTTGCGCCAGGGTGATTCTCATTCGAATGGTGGCACTTTGTGTCATCTGGTGTTTGTGGCTCGTTGTGAGGTCCTGGTGGGGTTGGAATTCATTCATTCAGTCAGTGATCATGTGGGTCATATCTGTGTTGTAATGAGGGCCGTATGTATCTGGCAATCCAATAGTTACTGCAGAGGTACGAAACTCTGACTCCCCCACGAAACCATCAAAACCTATTCCTCCCAATTCTGCTATTTCCAATGAACTGTTCTGTGAGGTTAACACGCATACTCTTTTAGTCTGACAAATCCACAGCGTTCTTGAAACACTTCTGCAACATTTCTGGCGAACTTTAGTGCAAACAGAAGTGATTCAAAGGACATCTTTCAAAACGCCATCTGTTGCAGCGGTTACTTTCACAGGAAGACCGCATATCTGTGTTTTAATCAGAACCCACTGCAAGAGCTGGATGGCACAAGATCAGCCAGTAGCTAGAGCCCACTACATGTCACAGAGGAATAGCATGTTACAAGCTAAAAGGCCAACCATACAAAAATAGATCGGGGGGGGGGGGGGGGGGGGGTGTAAAAGAGACGCTACGAAAATACAATACGGTATTAATACAAGCTAAACAACTAGCAAAACACAGGAAAATACATACAAAGCTTTGTGGCATAAGCCGTAGGTCAAACAGGAAGGAAAGAAAAAGAAAAAGAAAAAGAAGAAGAAGAAAAAGAAGAAGAAGAAGAAGAAGAAGAAGAAGAAGAAGAAGAAGAAGAAGAAGAAGAAGAAGAAGAAGAAGAAGAAGAAGAAGAAGAAGAAGAAGAAGGAGAAGAAGAAGAAGAAGAAGAAGAAGAAGAAGAAGAAGAAGAAGAAGAAGAAGAAGAAGAAGAAGAAGAAGAAGAAGAAGAAGAAGAAGAAGAAGAAAAAAAAGAAGAAGAAGAAGAAAAAGAAGAAGAAGGAGAAGAAGGAGAAGAAAAAGAAGAAGAAGAAGCAAAAGCTACACCCGGTAGTACATTTTAAATGTTTTGATGATGATTAGTCCAAGAATTTTGATTTTTGAGGTCATGCCTAGTGGCAGAGATTCCCGTGTCGTGTTGGCGGGATGACCTACTTGTCAGTGGTCAGAATCGCTGAATGCTGTCAGTAAAATGCACTATTTGATTCTTCCTGATTACTCGGTTCATGTCCCTTACCTCCTAAGGAAGGTCCACTGCTTTTGCCAACTCTAAGCTTCGGTGGAAAATCCTGATTGTTCGTCCATTTGGACTTTGGCTTTCTTTTAGAGCCTGATTGTTTTAAGCAAATCCATTTAATAGACATGTTTTTAAGGTTTAATTGTTGTTGTTGTTGATTAAGCATTGGTCTAATCTTGTTATCCTCACAATGGGACAAATACAAGAACACGCTGGACAGTCACTGGTAACAATATATAAGACAAAGCAGATGTCAAAGAATATACTGGGCACATCCTGTGAATAATTCAGCAGAGAATCGGCAGGCATAAAAAAACAATTGGATTAAAGAAGCGAGGATGTCCAAACGAATTCCTAGACGACCGTCGATTCTTCTTCTTTTTATTGTTAAATACATTTAACAATGTGACAAACAGACTGTAAACCACGGCTCTTTAGGAGACGCATAGATTAGGCGCCCACCAACAGTTACAATAGTTGGACGGCCCAGTCCTGTTATTTCACATAGCCATCCCTGTCTCCCCGTCAGCAGCAGGGCTGCATATATGGTACTCATAAACTATAATGTACATACACATGCTCTAAGATATTCCATATACGTCAGCGAGTTGTTGCGGGGGAGATGTAAGGATCGTTTGTGCGCTTGATCTGTGTAAATAGAAAGGCTAAAAGTGCTGGACTGTATTCCATCTGTATCTTTAAAAAAAAGAAGATTTCACAGGATAGAACGGAATGGGAGAAATAATGCGAGCCATCAGTAACATATCATCACTATTACTACGCACTTGAAAAAGGCCCACATTTCTTGATCGCTCCTTCACCCTAAAAAAAAATAATCCCTATAGCTTTCTTTTCTGTCAAGACCCTTGTCTCTGTGGCTACGCTGCATGTCAGTTCTTATAATTTATTCTCTTTCAGACAATAAACTTTTTGTTTCAGTATATGAAGCTGATTATTTATATTGCGTCCCCCGATGTTCACACCTGGTCTATCTGTTATATACCTTTTGATTTACATCGCATGCACACACAAAAAATTCCTAAATGTGTGGGGGTGTGGTGGTGAGGGGGGAGAGGGGAGGGGGTCTTACGCTTGTTTTTTTACCGTTTTTTTAGGAAGGGGGGGGGGGGTGGGTTGCCAGACATATAATACTGACTGCAGAAAGATATATTGTTATAAATATGAGTGATGAACGGATAGATCCAGGGGATTTATAAACAAACAGACAAGCAGACAAAGGTCAAGAGATGACCGGGCAAGCGCACAGACAGAAAGGCAAACGGATAAAGGAAACAAACTGTCAGGCAGACAAACAGGTAGACATATATGTTAGACAGACAGACACACATACATACAGATAGACAGAAAGAGAGAGAGAGAGACAGACAGGTAGAGGGATGGATAGACAGGCAGAGAGACAGACAGACCGAACAACCGACCGACCGACCGATAGACAGACAGCCAGGCAGGCAGACAGACAGACAGACAGACAGACAGACAGACAGACAGACAGACAGACAGACAGACAGACAGACAGACAGACAGACAGACAGACAGACAGACAGACAGACAGACAGACAGACAGACAGACAGACAGACAGACAGACAGACAGACAGACAGACAGACAGACAGACAGACAGACAGACAGACAGACAGACAGACAGACAGACAGACAGACAGACAGACAGACAGATAGATAGATAGATAGATAGATAGATAGATAGATAGATAGATAGATAGATAGATAGATAGATAGATAGATAGATAGATAGATAGATAGATAGATAGATAGATAGATAGATAGATAGATAGATAGATAGATAGATAGATAGATAGATAGATAGATAGATAGATAGATAGATAGATAGATAGATAGATAGATAGATAGATAGATAGATATTATCTAAGATCAAACGGACAGTGCAATAGAACAGGCAGAGAATCCATACATTTAAAGACTAATTCAACGTGGGTTGAGAAGAGAGTCCGGAAGATTTTCAACATTGATAGGGAAACATAGGGCGGACGTTTAATCAGGTTGCAACTGTTAATGTTAGCATGTCGACTCTTCGTTGTTAGTATAGAAGGAAATTGAGAATGCTCTGAGTGCAATCATGTCAGTTCTTGATTAATTCGTTCATTTATTCAACCACAGTGTCACATTCTCCCATTTGTTTGTCTAAAGGATGAGCAAACAAGGGAATCAGTGACCAAGCTGAGTAGGCGACACATCCAAAGACCCATTGCCATCTACTGATGAGAACACGCTACCAATGACAGCTCCCAAATCTGTAACTTCAATGTAATCAAGTCCAGCTTCAGACAGAGACTGTCCCAAAAGGTCCAGCTCGCTATATTCCCCGTGGCAGCAGCAAAGTTAGCATTGTCTTTCTTATCCTGCAACACCCGCTCAAAGTCTCCAGTCAGACAGACTCTGCCCTGCGCCCTCAGCCATGGCAACTACTGCAGACTATATGAAATCTGACGGAAGAATGTTCGGGTTTCCGGTTCGGCAAGTGGGCGAAGGACAAGTTCTTGGCGGAGTTCCTGTTCATGGTCCACATCCCGATGACATGATGTCCTCCCAGCAGCGAGGGCTGGACGCCAACCAGCGCATGAACGGATATTCTATTGATGGGATTCTGGGTCACGGGCGGCTGGGGTCTAACTCGCTGAAAGGTGGGTAATTGCTGATTGTGTTGTGTGGTAGTTGTCTGCACGCCATTTGTTTGTTTCTTTAATCGTTTAATGTGTGTGGCTTTTTGTTTATTTGTTTGTTTAGGTGATTGCGTGTTTATGGTTTGCTCGTTTTATGATTGTTTGTTTGTTAGTTGGTTTAATTGATTCTTTGCTTGTTTGTTTGTTTCTTGTCCGCACGTTATATGTTTATATGCTTATTTGTTTGTGTTATCAGTTGCTTGCTTTTTTGTTTGGTTGTCTTTTTTATATGACTGCTTATTTGTTTCTTTACTTGTGTGTGTGTGTGTGTGTGTGTGAATCTTTCCCTTTTAGTAATTGTTTGATTTTGTTTAGATTTGGGAAAAAGGGGGGGGGGGGGAGGGTGAGGGGGGTATATTTATTGTGTGCTTCGAATTTTCATGTTTTTTGTGTAATCATTTATTTGTCGGTGCGATTGTTGTTTGCACGCAATTTTTCTGTTTGCTCCTTTGTGTATTAAGGTGTCTGGTGGCGAAGAAGTCAAGCGTTTCCCTGAATATTCTTGGTTTGTGTCCTTCAGTTCATGGGTGTAACGGGGATTGTCATTAGAGCTACCACAGGAATTAGAACTCTTCGATTGCTGCTGAAAATGGGGACGGGGCGCATATGGGAGTGTCCTGAGTTCTGTGATGTCGATTCTTAATTCAACATTGGTTAAGCCTACAACTTAAAAAAAAAAAAATCGTAGCTATCAGAGCTACCTGTGGTTTTTACAACAATCACGGACAGTTGGACCATTTCTGCGTCGCTATCGTCGCTACCCGATTGTTCTATAATGGCTACCCGATTGTTCTATCATGGCTAATCTATTGTTTTAGCATGGCTACCTATTGTTCTATCATGACTACCCTATTGTTCTATCATGGCTACCCTATTGTTCTATCATGGCTAACCTATTTGTTCTAGCACGGCTACCCTATTGTTCTATCATAGCTACCTAATTTTATTATGGCTACCCTATTGTTCTCACAACAATCATGGACAGTTGGACCATTTCTCGGTCGCTATTATGGCTACCCTATAGTTATATCATGGCTACCATATTGTTCTATTATGGCTACCCTATTGTTCTTAAACAGTCATTCATAGAATTGTGGACCATTTATGTATCGCTAGCGTCGCTACCATATTATTCTCGAAACAATTATAGACAGTTGGACTATTTCTCGGTCGCTATCATGGCTGCCCTATTGTTCTATCATGGCTATCCTATTGTTATCACAACACTCATGGACAGTTGAACAATTAGCGAAAAAAGCGGCGAAGATGTGGTCTTCTGGACGATTGATTGATTGATTGATTGATTGATTGATTGATTGATTGATTGATTGATTGATGATTGATTGACTTGACTTGAAACTGGACTGATCTGGAATTGTGTCTATTGTTTTCTTTCTCCCCACACCCCCTCCCCCTTTCCGCCCCACGGCCTCGTGTGGGTACTGGGGTCCCATTTTAAAGACAAACATGACAGTCCCACTGCTCCCTAACAAGCATATCGGAGACTACTTAGGAGTTAGTGAATGAGTCAGTGAGTTACGTGCACAAAAATACACACGGGCGTTCGATTTTACTACCCAGAGACCAAGGAAAATCACTAGAAGTCAATGTGAAAAAAATCCCAGCTTTTACCAGGACCTGAACCCGGGACCTCTAGCACTCGAGGCGGACGCCATGCATCGAGACGACTCACCCTCCTCTCAGCAACACCCGAAGTGATAAACAGAAGACAGTGAAGAAGTAGCAGAAAAAGAAATGATTAGAGAAATTAGCTGTAGACAGGCAGTTTCTGTTTGGGCGTGCTGTAAGAAGGAACTGACGTCTGTCAAGACTGGTGGAAAAAGAGCAAGAGGACAAATTCCTTGATGGCTCTAGCTTGGCCACTACTGCGTGAGACTTCTTATTCAACAGTTTCTAGAAAACATATAAAACCGAACGAAAAGCTTCACAATATAACAAACACACAAAAACGTGAACGCTGCGGCCATGGAGCCTTCATCAGCACAAACATAAATAAAACAATACCACCGAAAAATAATAATAATAATAATAATTCACTAAGCATAGTATCTCGAAGCGGCCAGGTCGATGTCTTGTCAGTAGGCTGACGAGGAACGTTGGAACTGAGAATAAATGCCCACTGTGAATTCCAGGAGCCGTAACCGGAGGGTTTAGATAAAACTGTGTGGGCAGTTTAATCCCCTCGGATTTTAGATGAAACTGTGTTGACAGTTCAGTCCTCTGGGTGTTAAAGTACCTAAAATGAAAATAAAGCGGTTATCAAGAGACTTGCGAACTCTGTCGCTGACAGTTTCTGGTCACGCTCTTAAACTGGGATGCTAGATCGAGATTATTTCGATTTCCTTAAAGTTATCAGCTGTGGACACATGTTGTTTCGTACCCCCAAAAGGAGTTGAAAGTCCTGTATGCCTCATTCTGGGAGTCTGTTCAACAAGAAGACACTGACAGAGAGCTGCTTGCCTCATAGCTAATTTACATGAATGTTTGTAGAGTCTGCAATATCATGTGCGTAAGCGGTAAAGTGTGACTTGGTCAGTTCTCTTTTGGTTTAAAGAAAATATGTTTAATTTCTTTTCATCCTCGCGTTCCTGAGCTGTAAACTCCGGCGGAAAGTTCTGGTAGTTCATCCACTTCTGGATTTAGTCTTGTTCAATAACTTCAGTTTTACCAGCCTATCCGTTTTACAAATCAGGCTTTTGTGTGCATGCAACCGTTGGTTCCTCACCTCTCAGACAGACGCACTCCAACTTCGAAGGACACATTCCTCATTAGTCGACTCTTACGACATGCTTGTTAGGGGGCAGTGGGTCTTTCCCCCCCCCTACCCCCCCCCCTCCCACAATGGGGCCCAGAACAGGCACAGGGAAAACAGTATGTTTTACATCCGGTTATCGGGCTTTTGTTTTCCAGTTTGTTTCTGGCTTTCTCTTAATGAGAGCTTTCATTTATGGGAAAAAATGGCTGGTATACTTGCTGTTTATATTGAGTGACACAAGAACATTGACCTGTTCCATGATTCTGACGATCTTGTAAGATCGCGAACCGTGACTGACCACACATATAGACACTAGGGCCAGGCAGACAGGGTCCATACTTGAGAGGCTGCTATATGATTTTGATGCTTTAGGAGCAGAAAGCAGACAAATACTACCCTAGATATGTCAGCTATTAAAATCCTGATGGAGTTAAGAGATATGGGCAATGTCTGCTAGTGAAGGAGGGATTGAAACATGTGGTGCTTGGCCTGAGACTTTGAAATCATATTGCCATAGAGGGGCAGGGAATACAAATGAAGATTGACAGCCTACGTTGGAATATGTATGTGCTGCCGTTGGCTCAGTAGTTACAGAGTAACAGTGGGACTGGCTGAAAGACCTGGAGGGGATTCCTGGCCACAAGCTCCTCATTTATGTTGATTTCAATGCACGGAACAATAAATGAGACAGTACTGGGGAAAACTGACAGGGAGTTGCCCTTGCTGACGCCAAAGTCGATTCAGATTTTGTTTGCTTAAATGATGGGGGGCCAACTAGAATGACAATGAGGCCCGGCGATGCAGACACGGCTATTGACCTGGTTTTGATTACCCAGTCAGCAGTACTGGACACTAAATGGACCGTCCTAGGCGACCATGAAAGTGACCATCTACCATGTTCAGTATTGATCTCCAAATCCCGTAAAGTCAAGGCTTCAAGAGCTCGTAGGTCTTTCAAGCATGAGCGGACGAACGCCCTTCTTCGAAACCTCTGTTAGAGGGCATAGCAGATGAAAATCAGATCTACTTGGTGGACATCAGAGATAGAACAGGCATGGCACTTAGAGAGAGCTGCAGCAAAGTGATTAAAGAAAGTATGACAGACAGCCCCAAGCTCACTGGAAGAATTTGGGTACGCGGAAAGAGATAAGAAAAACCTGGATAGAGTTTTTGAAGCGTCTTGTCGCAAAGGCCAAAAAATAAAAAATAAATTAATAAAGCAAAATTTGAGCATTTTGTTGCTGAGATTGTGTTCCGTTCGGAATAGTATTTGGGTCTGTCTCCTTCGACTGCATCAACGCTGAAAGAGTCCTTTTCAGGGCTTTTGGGGACTAGCAATGCTCATTTCATATGGCGCACATAACCTAGTAACAATTATAACCGAAAGCTCCCCCGTTGAGGATTCTAGTTGAACGTGACGATATGTTTTCCGCACAGCAAGTCAAGCCAAGCAAAAGTAAGCCCTACCCCAAATATTAGCCCTAGTCTCGTCAAGATGGTCTGCTAGACAGGCGTATTTCATTCATCCGTTGAAGCATACAACAGCCATATTGAATTATAAAGTAATAAATGTAAAGATAAATTTAAAAAAATATTGTTGACATGAATGTTTTTAAACCAACAATCAAAATATAAATTGAAGTTTTTCGTACGCGGAAAAAAAAAAGAAATTCAAAGGGGTGAAAAAATCCCTAATGCTTTTTTGGAACAAACTTGAAATAAGACACGGTTTTAATTTAGCTGAAACCGGTATTGCGATCCACATAGTTGTCGGTGGTCTTCCCTTTCCTAGAATTTAACCTAATGAGCTGTGACTAAAAAAAGCTATATTATAAATAGCTATAAACAGTCGTTTACGTGACTTCATGGTGAGCACCGGGAGTTGGAGTAATGCCCCTTTGTTATTGTATGTAGTTAGTTCACGTCGAGAAAGGCTCTGGTCGAACTGTCGATTTGTCCGGTTTTTTGGGGTTTTTTCAACTTTGCATGGTTTTGCTCTTTCCCCCTTTTGTTAAGCTTTTTAGTCGCAGTTCAGTGAATTAATTGATTGTTGTTAGCTTAACTGTAGTCACCCCTGTTTTCACTACTTTCTTCCCTTCCAACGCAGTGATTATGAATCCACTTCCCGGAACTGTAGTGATCTTGGGACTTAAATATTTGTTGTCTCCTTTTCAAGCAGTATGAT